TTTAGGGTTTGAAATATCTGTTTCTTGTAATTTGGCCTGAAATTTGTTTGCAATTTTATAACAAAATGTCCCTATGTTGAGTCAGTGTCCTCATGTTGGGCCATTTTGATTAATTTTTTACGATAAAATAATTGTCCCTATGTCAAATTGTACACATGTGGGGGTCTCACTTTACAGTAATCAACTGCGGAACCATGTTAAAACGTATTTTAATTTTCGTTTTGCGATGGCTGGATTTCTTTTGATCATGTTTTTCCAAAAAATGTCTAATATAGCTTCTGTGGATAATGCTGTCACGTCCGTCGTGAATGATACAGTTGCAACCGTTGGGGATACTGTTGGTGAGTGTTTAAAAGGCTGTAAACTATCATTTCTGCATTATTTTATAGCTCTGTACATAGCATTTAAAGTACAGCAATCAACCGCAAAAGCATGTTAAAACGAATTTGAATTTCGTTTTACGATGGCTGGAATTCTTTTGAATCATATTTCTCCAACAATTTTCTTATATAGCTTCTGTGGATAATTCTGTCACATCTGTCGTCAATGATACAGTTGCAGCTGCTGGCGATACTGTTGGTGAGTGTTTAAAATGTTATAAACTATCATATTTTATAGCTCTGTATACTGTATAGCGTTTGAAGTACAGTAATTAACTGCGAAGCATGTTAAAGCGAATTTGAATTTTTGTTTCGCGATGGCTGGAATTCTTTTGATCATTTTTCTCCAACAATGTTCTTGTATAGCTTCTGTGGATAATGCTGTCACGTCTGTCGTCAATGATACAGTTGCAGCTGCTGGCGATACCGTTTGTAAGTGGAAGCATTTTATATACTGTACAGTACATTTTTATTTATTTCGTGATTCACTGCATCATTCAAACGTTGCAATAAAGGAAAATGAATCTAAATTTGTATCAATTTGCCGAATGAGTCGCTAACCATTTTTAATGTGTATTTATTTATTTTTGCTTCGGCTATAATAGCTTCTGTGGAGAGTGCCGTCACATCTGTGGTCAATGACACCGTCGCAGCCGTCGATAATACTGTGTGTAAGTGAACTTTGTTCAAAAGTACTTGGTTTTCTGCTTATTTCGAAGGCATCAATGAATGCTTTGAGAAAAAATGAAGATAAAGTATTTGTCTTCGTTATTGTTGTCTGAATATTCATCACATAATGTGATCTTTTTCTTAATGTTCACAGCCGCTGTTGAAAACACTGTTACGTCGGTGGTCAATGACACTGTTGCTGCCGTCGATAATGCTGTGTGTAAGTGCTGATGCGTTGGTATTTTCTGTCGATAAGCTTGTTTATAGGTACTGTATTAATGAATTCGTAAAAAAAATTCCAAGTTATTCAAAGTTTTATCGATGGATTTTTTAATGAATGTTTATCTCATAAAATTATATTTTTCATGATGTTTTCAGCCACTGTTGGGAACACCGTTACGTCGGTCGCCAATGACACTGTTGCAGCCGTGGACAACGTCGTTTGTGAGTAAATGAATTACACGCGATATACAAAATAGGCAGTAAAATATAGAAATATACGCAGTATATACTCGAACAATATATACTGTTAGTCCTCAATTATTGTAGTGCATGAAGTGCGTAAAAGCGTCGGCTCAGAATATTTTCCAGTTATTTTAAAACAATTCAATATTTCTTCGATTTAGATCCATGAAAATAAATTATTCAATCAGAATACCTCGTCAATCAAAATCTTTTTTTTTAGCTTCGGTTTTTTCGCATCAGCCCATTCTTTCCATGACCAAGTACAGTATAGACACGAGATAATAATTGGTTTATAAGGAAAGTCAGAACCCTAGTAAGGGATGATGGAAAATCCCAACGGATTCGCCAAATCTTAAATAAAAAAATTAGATGATTTGCTTTATTTATTCACCAACTATTTTCTGGATTTTTTTTTTTTAAATCGGAAGCTTCCGTGGAAACCGCTGTCACTTCGGTGGTCAATGATACAGTTGCAGCCGTTGGCGATACCGTTTGTAAGTAAACTCATTTACAGTTACAACGTTTATTCAATTGTCGCTTGGAATATTCATGAGCACTGAACACTCATTGGACATATTTTTTTTTACATTTTTTAGTAATTGTCTTGAAATGATTTCGTTTTTGAAATTCTTAGCTTCTGTGGGAAGCGCTGTAACTTCCGTGGTCAATGATACTGTTGCAGCCGTTGACAATACCGTTTGTGAGTGAACGCATTTATGTACTTTTCAAAGTAGCGTTTATAAATTTTTAATCAAAAATCAACGAGGAATTTAAAATATTTTTAATTCTTTTCTCCGGGAATGTCGACTCGTAATATTTTTTTTTATCTGATGAGACAGATTGCTGGTGTCGAGCAGAACATAGCAGAAAATTTGCATTTTTGGTCAATGACTGCTTTTTATTCGTGTAATCCTGTACGTAAATATTGTAATCATAAACACGTTGAAGAAAACTAGAGAAAAACATCAGTTTTCCATCTATTCGCTGAATATTTTCTGATTAATTTTGTTTTTATTATTAGCTGCTGTCGAGAACACTGTGACATCGGTTGTCAACGACACTGTTGCGGCTGTTGGCGATACCGTTTGTAAGTTTAAACAATTGCAAAATTGATATTAATGCTCATATTTATGTCCGGTATTTTCTTGCGGCAATGAATTACCAATATGGTCCCTTTAAAGAAAGAAAAAAAATTTTGATATGGAAGCAGAACATTTTTTGATGGTCAATTTTCTCCTGCAATGATTATAGCATCTGTGGGAAACGCTGTCACGTCTGTTGTGAATGACACCGTCGCAACCGTTGGCGATTCCGTTTGTGAGTGATCTTACAGTATTTTTATGATTCGGATTAGCGTTTCATAAAAAACTTAAATCTATTCAGACGCCTTTTATCATGGGGCTGCGGAAAATATTTTGATCGTGACATTTTCTGTAATGATAGCTGCTGTGGAAAATGCTGTCACATCTGTAGTAAATGACACCGTCGACAATACTTTTTGAAAGTATGCAAATTTTCTTTGTTTTCAGCTGTTCAGATATTCCGCGTTCGAATAAAAAATAAAGAAAAACGCGGAGATGAAATCTCTCCACATATTGGTAAAATCGATATTCACTATCTTTTTTTCAATTAATTCAGTAATGATTTTATGACTGTTTTGGATACTCATCATCGTAAGAGAATAAGTACTGTACTCGACTTTATTCATGCCTTTGCGTAGATTCATTTAATATGGACCAATTCGAATACTGTAATTCGTGAATGTCTCATTGAAGTGATTTCAATATTTCTTTGTTACGAATTAATCATAAACACGTTGAAGAAAACTAGAGAAAAACATCAGTTTTCCATCTATTCGCTGAATATTTTCTGATTAATTTTGTTTTTATTATTAGCTGCTGTCGAGAACACTGTGACATCGGTTGTCAATGACACTGTTGCGGCTGTTGGCGATACCGTTTGTAAGTTTAAACAATTGCAAAATTGATATTTATGCTCATATTTATGTCCGGTATTTTCGTGCGGGAATGAATTACCAATATGGTCACTTTAAAGAAAGAAAAAAAATTTGATATGGAAGCAGAACATTTTTTGATGGTCAATTTTCTCCTGCAATGATTATAGCATCTGTGGGAAACGCTGTCACGTCTGTTGTGAATGACACCGTCGCAACCGTTGGCGATACTGTTTGTAAGTGATCTTACAGTATTTTTGTGATTCGGATTAGCGTTTCATAAAAAATTTGAATCAATTCAGACGCATTTTATCATGGGGCTGCGGAACATATTTTGAACGTGACATTTTCTGTAAAATGATAGCTGCTGTGGAAAATGCTGTCACATCTGTTGTAAATGACACCGTCGACAATACTTTTTGAAAGTATGCAAATTTTCTTTGTTTTCAGCTGTACAGATATTCTGCGTTCGAATAAAAAATAAATAAAAACGCGGAGATGAAATCTCTCCATATACAGTATTGGTAAAATCGATATTCACTATCTTTTTTTTTAATTGATTCAGTAATGATTTTATGACTGTTTTGGATACTCATCATCATAAGAGAATAAGTACTGTACTCGACTTTATTCATGCCTTTGCGTAGATTCATTTAATATGGACCAATTCGAATACTGTAATTCGTGAATGTCTCATTGAAGTGATTTCAATATTTCTTTGTTACGAAGATTACTTTGTTTATTTCAGCGACTGCCGTGAACTCGGTCGTGTCGGTGGTGAATGATACGGTTGGTGAGTTTTTTCTGAATGGCTTTTATTGGAAATTTAAAAATTTTAAGGAAAAATTTCCCTTTTCAATCGAATATTTTAGCTGCTGTGGAGAACACAGTCACAGCTGTCGTCAATGATACTGTTGCGACGGTGGATAATACCGTATGTAAGTAATTTACATGTTTTGGAATTTTCACATTTTAAAATTTTTTATTTCTTTTTATTATTACTATAGACATATTAATTTCCAATTTTTTTTCCAATTTGACGGCAAATGGACTCTCATCTCTCTACAGTAAAATTCAGGAGACTAGAAAAAACTGCGTTGAAGATGGGATTTTGCTGTAAAGAACCACTATAGGATGGGGTTGGAACCCTAAGCCCTAAGGGACCGAAAAAAAAACTTTATGAAATTGTTATACGGCAGAGAATGTTGTTGCAGACAAAATTGTTGTAGAGAGAGTCCTGCGTCCACTTGTATTATAAAAATGCAAATTAATACCTTTTGAATGAACAGAACACTTTAATTGCCGCTTTTCAGCATTCACAAGGATCACTCAAGATTTTAACAACCAAACCCCCCTTCCCACCCAACCCAAATCCACTCAATGACATTTTAATATTTCTTTGTTACGAAGATTACTTTGTTTATTTCAGCGACTGCCGTGAACTCGGTCGTGTCGGTGGTGAATGATACGGTTGGTGAGTTTTTTTCTTCAGCTTGTTTCTGTATGAGGTTTAGTTGAATGAACAAATTACAGAGAATCTTTGATGAGAAATCATATAAAGCCAACAATTCATCTTGATCCTTTAATGTATTATCGTAATACCTTTTTCCCAAGAAAATTGTTAATGTTAAGGAAACAAGTGTACACAAGAGCAAGTTAACAGAACAGCAGTAATGAATACTACAAGAACAAGTTGAAAAATAAAATAGCAAATGTTAGAGGCGTAATTGACCATGCGTCAAGGCCAAGTTTTTATGCATGTTACACCTTGTTTCTTGCTGTTTTGCACTGTTTTTTGGTCTTTTCTCTTTCAAGATGACTTATCTTTTGTGTCATTCGTTAGGACAGGGTTTTCAAAGCTTTTCTCTTTGTTTTTCTTCAACTTTCCAGCAAACGCTGTGGACACTGTTTCGTCCGTTGTTAATGACACCATCGGTGAGTATTTCAAATTTACATTATTTGGTGAGCTGGTCCAAAGTTTCTTCCTTCGTAATAAATATTCCGCATGAGACAGCAATGCAGGTGATTCTGTGTAGGGAATTCCAAAATTTTGTGCTCCCCCTTTTTAGCAGCTGATCAGAATAATTCAGTTGCATCAGTCGTGAATTACAGCATTGCAGCTGTCGACAGATCCATTTTATTGCAGGTTTATTTTCTTTAAAAAAATTTTTCATTGAAGTCAGGATAAAAATTCCTTTGAGACTTTGCATTCCTCCGCAAATGTTTAAAATGCTGTAAATGGAATAGGAAATAGGCACATACCGCACATTGATTTAAGAACAAGTTTAAGTCATCTCAGCTGCTAATATAATGGTGTTTTTTGTTTGATTAGCGACTGTTGTTGACACCGTTGTCGCTGTTGCAAATGAAACAGTCGGTGAGTTTTTGTTCAATTATCTTTTACCTTTCGATGTACGATGTGTCGCTACAAAGTGTCTGCTTTTCGGCTACTTTTTTCAGAACGAGGAAGATATGGTAATACGACCCTAGTTAAAAATTAAGACATTTTATATTAGAAAAGAATACGTGACTTAATTTCATATCGGTGTAGCCAACATTTGCATCCGTTGTCAATGCCTCTGTGTGTTGAGCATTCCTCTTCAACTGTAGTTCGATAATCTAACTTATTGCTAAGAATTAGATTAAAACTACATTAAAATGTAACCTCGATAATTAAAACCTCCGTGAGTCAAATTTTCTTTCAAGTCCCCCTCTGAATTCCCTTTTAAAAAATGCAATGAAAACCTCCATAATTCGATGGCTTTTCCTCTTAGGCCTCTGTAACTCGTATTTTTTTGGGCCATTTTGGCGATTATTTTTTTGACACAGGGAAGAGGAAAGCAATGAAAAAAATAACGATGTTTTCTGAAAGGAAGTGAAGGACTAATTAAGCAAATGTGCCCCTATACCTCCAAGTTATCCAGAGATTTGTCAACTCATTTAAGAAGCAATTCAAGGTCCAGAGTATCACCAATTACGATTTCCTGCAATTTCTTCTTTCTTTCCCAACTAGTACATTGACTAAAAAAGGCTTGTTTCTTCTAACTCAAAATCTCCATAACTCGAATTTTTTTTTGCTGGTCCTCTGAAATTCGACTTGAAGAGGTTTGATGACTGATGCGTCCCTCTACTATAATGATGATCCTTTTTGCAATGATTATTCTCGCCTGTTTCAATTATCTTTTACCTTTCGATGTACGATGTGTCGCTACAAAGTGTCTGCTTTTCGGCTACTTTTTTCAGAACGAGGAAGATATGGTAATACGACCCTAGTTAAAAATTAAGACATTTTATATTAGCAAAGAATACGTGACTTAATTTCATATCGGTGTAGCGAACATTTGCATCCGTTGTCAATGCCTCTGCGTGTTGAGCATTTCTCTTCAACTTTAGTTCAATAATCAAACTTATTGCCAAGAATGAGGTTAAAACTACATTAAAATGTAACCTCGATAATTCAAACCTCCCTAAGTCAAATTTTCTTTCAAGTCCCCCTCTGAATTCTCTTTTAAAAATGCAATGAAAACCTCCATAATTCGATGGCTTTTCCTCTTAGGCCTCTGTAACTCTTATTTTTTAGGTTATTTTGGCGATTATTTTTTTTGACACAGGAAAGAGGAAAGCAATGAAAAAAATAACGATGTGTTCTGAAAGGAAGTGAAGGACTAATTAAGCAAATGTGCCCCTATACCTCCAAGTTATCCAGATATTTGTCAACTCATTTAAAAAGCAATTCAAGGTCCAGAGTATCACCAATTACGATTTCATGCAATTTCTTCTTTCTTTCCCAGTACATTGACTAAAAAAGGCTCGTTTCTTCTGACTCAAAATCTCCATAACTCGAATTTTTTTTTGCTGGTCCTCTGAAATTCGACTTGAAGAGGTTTGATGACTGATGCGTCCCTCTACTATAATGATGATCCTTTTTGCAATGATTATTCTCGCCTGTGATTGGACCGTGTGGAATTTTCAAAATGTTTAATATTTTTCAAAAGCAACTGCCGTGGATGCTGTAACATCGATTGCGAATGACACAGTAGGTAAGTACTTTTTTGAATGTTTTTTATCAAAAAGTTTTTTTAGTTTGGTCTGTCATCGCGAGAACTTTTAAAATTTTGAATATTAAATTTTTTAAGCAACTGCCGTGGATGCTGTAACTTCGGTTGCGAATGACACAGTAGGTAAGTACTTTTTTGAATGTTCTTATAAAAAAAAATTTTTGGTTTGGTCTGTCGCGAGAACTTTTAAAATTTTGAATATTAAATTTTTTGAAGCAACTGCCGTGGATGCCGTAACTTCGATTGTGAATGACACAGTAGGTAAGTACTTTTTAGAATTTTCTTATCAAAAAAAAAATTTTTGGTTTGGTCTGTCGCGAGAACTTTAAAAATTTTGAATATTAAATTTTTTAAAGCAACTGCTGTGGATGCTGTAACCTCGATTACAAATGACACAATCGGTGAGTATTTTTTCTTACATGGTTCTTTAAAAAAAAATTCGTGGTTGTGATGTCTTTTGAGAACGTATACAATTTTCACAAAGTATAAATTTTGAAAAAGCAACTGCTGTGGATGCCGTAACATCTATCGCGAATGATACGGTCGGTGAGTAACTTTTTTTCAAATGTTCTAATGAAAACATTTTTTTTTGGCTATGGCATGGTTATGATAACGTGTAGCATTTTGAAAAAGAATGTTCATTTTTGTGCAAAAGCAAATGCTGTGGATGCTGTAACCTCAATTGCGAATGATAAAGTCGGTAAGTAATTTTAACCCCGAATATGTAAGGAAAATTTTTTTAAAGTGATTTCTTTCTCATTCTTATAGCTGCAGTTGCCAACACCGTCAACTCAGCAGTTAACGACACTATTGGTGAGCTTTAAACGTTCATTTTGCTGTATGCGGTAGTACAGTACAATAATCTACCGTATTTTGTATTCTTAGGTACAATTTGTTTATTCTAAGATTTTGAAGTGTTTTCCAACTTTTTGCTGTTCGTAGCTGCTGTCGGTAACACGGTTACATCGGTGGTGAATGACACTGTGTCAGCGGTATCTGATGGAATTGGTGAGAAGTTTTCTGAATATATTGTTGAGGAATTCTTGTGTAATTTGTGCCAAACCTGATTCTTTTCAATCTTCTTGTCTACAAAAAATAATGATATTGCCTTTTCAAAGCTGTCGCTTTCTGAACAAATTGCAAGATTCCTTGTCCCCGAACATGTCATCAAAATATTTTTTCAACTCGAGTCCGTGCTTGATTTTTGCGGAGTTCAAAAAAATATGCTGACAGTTCTTGGAAAAATTATTCGTAATTTGATAATTTTTTCTCATTTTTTAAACCTTGTTCTCCACTGATTCGAACACGTTTCTCCACTGCGGTACAAATATTTATAGGAGGAGCACATTTTGGAAACGCCACTTTTGTCCATTTTTACCACTTCCTAAAAGAATTCTCTGTTTCAATAAACCTTTGAAATATCTTGCGAGTCATTGATGATTTTCGGCATAAATCGGAGCAGTTGAGTAAAAATTGTCGTCACACTCGGTCGCATTGAGTCTTCGCAGACTAGAAAGAATTAATTTATAAGTTACGCATAAGTAGACATTATATGCATCATTGTCGAATTGCTGCTGGACGGATTGCAAATCATGTACAGTACTGTATTGTAATTTTGTTTTCCATATTATACTTAGCCAAAGAAAGGGTAATTGAACTACATGTGCGTGGAAGTCAGACAATTCTCATCTTATCCATGTTATATTTATATAAAGCATGAAAATCCATGAATTTTTTATGATTTGGTTAAATGTTTTCCTCGCAAACTCCTATAGCGTTAATTTGTATTCTCAATTTTTTTTAGCCACTGTGAGTACGATTGTGAACACCGTGGTCAACGAAACCATTGCTGTGGTGAATGAAACTGCTGGTTCGTTGACAAATGTTATCAGAATAATTATCTAAATTCTAATTGCTTTGTATTCAATTTTAGGAGCGGTCTCTGCTGCAGTTAATGAAACTGCAAGCGCTGTGAACAACGTCACTGCGACGATAGACAATACAGTTTGCAAGTGTTATCAAATTCTGAATTGCCAAATTGATTTAGGAATGTCGAAAACATTTATTTAATTTTCTAAAATTGATTTTACAGCGTCTGTTACAAATGCAGTGAACTCATCAGTGACGGCTATAGTAGATGTCGCCACGTGTGAGTACTGTATTGGCTTTTTTTTAATCTGCATAATTTCTATTCATTTTTTACATCCAGAAAAGAAAGAGTTAATCTTTAGCGTAGTTTTTTGTCTTATTCTTGACTTGAGTGTTGAATGCCACAAAAGTTTTAAAAATGTAGTTTTCCAGAAATAAAAAACCTATATATTTGTTGAAATCAATCCAAGCCATTAAAAAATGCTCTGAATTTAAACTGTATCCAAAAATAGGTTTATACTCTTAACTTGACCCATCCTGTGACTTCGTGAAGATTTTAAACCGGATTACTGTATAAGATATATTTTTCAAATCTTTCATCGATTTCAATGTTGACATTTTCGCCTCTGATTTGCTTCCGTTTTTCAGCCCCTCATGGGTTCAAAAAAACTGGTACTCCCTGCCACCAAAAACGTTCTTACAAATAAGCCTTTTATATTTCCTGGAAAAATAATACTGTACGATGATATCGATTCTGTTATCGGGTAAATTCATTTACTGTAATCTCCAAAGGCTGGAATAGCTGCAAATCATTAGTAAGAACCTATATTATTGGTAAAATACGTTCTATTGAATCTTAAAAGCCTGATTTAGCTTTGAATCTCTTTTTTCAGTTCGTTTTTTGTTTTGTTTATAGCTGCTGTAGCAAATGCGTCCACTACGATCGCCAATGGTGTTAACACTGTGACCGCAGTAGTGAATGAAACCACAGCTACAGTGGGTGAGCTTTCAATGAATTTTAAACTGCAAATATTTCTTTGAAAACCGAGGCTAAACACGTCGTGCGTTGAAATTGTTTTTCCGCAGTGACGTTATCCGATTCGCTCGTGTCCCTCGACCCTGAGCTTTTCGAAAGCCTGATGAACTCTAGCGACTCAGCCAAACTTTTAACTGCGCTGTCAAACTCGGTGACGGACAGGTTGTCTTCCATAACCGACGTGTCGGCATTGAAGGGCATTCTTGAAAATCCTGGAGGGCTGGAACTNAAAAAAAATTCGTGGTTGTGATGTCTTTTGAGAACGTATACAATTTTCACAAAGTATAAATTTTGAAAAAGCAACTGCTGTGGATGCCGTAACATCTATCGCGAATGATACGGTCGGTGAGTAACTTTTTTTCAAATGTTCTAATGAAAACATTTTTTTTTGGCTATGGCATGGTTATGATAACGTGTAGCATTTTGAAAAAGAATGTTCATTTTTGTGCAAAAGCAAATGCTGTGGATGCTGTAACCTCAATTGCGAATGATAAAGTCGGTAAGTAATTTTAACCCCGAATATGTAAGGAAAATTTTTTTAAAGTGATTTCTTTCTCATTCTTATAGCTGCAGTTGCCAACACCGTCAACTCAGCAGTTAACGACACTATTGGTGAGCTTTAAACGTTCATTTTGCTGTATGCGGTAGTACAGTACAATAATCTACCGTATTTTGTATTCTTAGGTACAATTTGTTTATTCTAAGATTTTGAAGTGTTTTCCAACTTTTTGCTGTTCGTAGCTGCTGTCGGTAACACGGTTACATCGGTGGTGAATGACACTGTGTCAGCGGTATCTGATGGAATTGGTGAGAAGTTTTCTGAATATATTGTTGAGGAATTCTTGTGTAATTTGTGCCAAACCTGATTCTTTTCAATCTTCTTGTCTACAAAAAATAATGATATTGCCTTTTCAAAGCTGTCGCTTTCTGAACAAATTGCAAGATTCCTTGTCCCCGAACATGTCATCAAAATATTTTTTCAACTCGAGTCCGCGCTTGATTTTTGCGAGTTAAAAAAAAAAATATGCTGACAGTTCTTGGAAAAATTATTCGTAATTTGAAAATTTTTTATCATTTTTTGACCTCGTTTTTCATTGATTCGAACACGTTTCTCCACTGCGGTACAAATATTTATAGGAGGAGCACATTTTGGAAACGCCACTTTTGTCCATTTTTACCACTTCCGAAAAGAATTCTCTGTTTCAATAAACCTTTGAAATATCTTGCGAGTCATTGATGATTTTCGGCATAAATCGGAGCAGTTGAGTAAAAATTGTCGTCACACTCAGTCGCATTGACTCTTCGCAGACTGCTATAAAGAATAAATGTATAAGTTACGCAAAAGTAGACATGATGGTATAGTGAGTTTGGCTTATTGTCGAATTGCTGATGGACGCATTGCAAATCATGTACTGTATTGTAATTTTGATTTCCTTATTATACTTGGCAAAAGAAAGGGTAATTGAACTGCATGTGCGTGGAAGTCAGACAATTCTCATCTTATCCATGTTATATTTATATGTAGCATGAAAATTCATGATTTTTTTTATGAAGTGGTTAAATGTTTTCCTCGCAAACTCCTAATGTTAATTTGTACAGTATTCTCAATTTTTTTTAGCCACTGTGAGTACGATTGTGAACACCGTGGTCAACGAAACCATTGCTGTGGTGAATGAGACTGCTGGTTCGTTGACAAATTTTCTCAGAATAATTATCTAATTTCTTATTGCTTTTTGTATTCAATTTTAGGAGCGGTCTCTGCTGCAGTTAATGAAACTGCAAGCTCTGTGAACAACGTCACTGCGACGATAGACAATACAGTTTGCAAGTGTTATCAAATTCTGAATTGCAAAATTAATTTAGGAATTTCGAAAACATTTATTTAATTTTCTAAAATTGATTTTACAGCGTCTGTTACAAATGCAGTGAACTCGTCAGTGACGGCTATAGTAGATGTCGCCACGTGTGAGTACTGTATTGGCTTTTTTTTAATCTGCATAATTTCTATTCATTTTTTGCATCCAGAAAAGAAAGAGTTAATCTTTAGCGTAGTTTTTTGTCTTATTCTTGACTTGAGTGTTGAATGCCACAAAAGTTTTAAAAATGTAGTTTTCCAGAAATAAAAAACCTATATTTGTTGAAATCAATCCAAGCAATTTTTTAAAAGGAATTGCTCTGAAGTTAAACTGTATCCAAAAATAGGCTAATACGCTCAACTTGACCCATCCTGTGACTTCGTGAAGATTTTCAACCGGATTACTGTATAAGATATATTTTTCAAATCTTTCATCGATTTCAATGTTGACATTTTCGCCTCTGATTTGCTTCCGTTTTTCAGCCCCTGATGGGTTCAAAAAAACTGGTACTCCCTGCCACCAAAAACGTTCTTACAAATAAGCCTTTTATATTTCCTGGAAAAATTACTGTACGATGATATCGATTCTGTTATCGGGTAAATTCATTTACTGTAATCTCCAAAGGCTGGAATAGCTGCAAATCATTAGTAAGATTCTATATTATTGGTAAAATACGTTCTATTGAATCTTAAAAGCCTGATTTAGCTTTGAATCCCTTTTTTCAGTTTGTTTTTTGTTTTGTTTATAGCTGCTGTAGCAAATGCGTCCACTACGATCGCCAATGGTGTTAACACTGTGACCGCAGTAGTGAATGAAACCACCGCTACAGTGGGTGAGCTTTCAATGAATTTTAAAATGCAAATTTCTTTGAAAACCGAGGCTAAACACGTCGTGCGTTGAAATTGTTTTTCCGCAGTGACGTTATCCGATTCGCTCGTGTCCCTCGACCCTGAGCTTTTCGAAAGCCTGATGAACTCTAGCGACTCAGCCAAACTTTTAACTGCGCTGTCAAACTCGGTGACGGACAGGTTGTCTTCCATAACCGACGTGTCGGCATTGAAGGGCATTCTTGAAAATCCTGGAGGGCTGGAACTGCTGAAGAACCTGGGAGTTTCTGTGTTCACCGACGGAATTCTCGAGCTCATCAATGGGACCTTGGACGATTCTATCGTGCTCGAGGGTTTGCTGGGTTTTTTCCTGCGGGCGAAGGCTGAGGACATTTTCACGTGTCCCGACGACGGATCCTACATTCTCAATCTTGGACCCTTGGTTGGTAAGTACCGTATACATTTATATACATCTGCTAATACAATATACTCATATGGCCTTAAAAAAAATCCCTGTACATTCGTTCATGCGGCATATTATTCCGAGAATGTTCTGAGACTCATTTTATACCGTTTTTAGATTGCTGATCACGTATCGTTTTTGCTCCTATGCTCGAGTTTATTTTTCTCCTTTTTTTGTCTGTTCCATTTCGCATGAAAGTGCTTTTACTTGCTATCATTATTTCATTACGCCGATTTTTCTCATGTACTGTATATTATAGCATAGGAATCGGAGGTTGATTAGCAGAGATAAATTTGCAAGCCATCGTTTAATGACCTCTAGTTTTTGTTGAATGCAATGATGAATTGTTTTAGATTGGGTAGATGTCACTAGTAGTTTTCGATAATAGATTTCTGTACTCCGACATAGTCGCGAGTTCTTTCGGCTTTTCGCTGATTCTCACATCATGTATACAGCATTGGGCTAAATTGCTGCACGATCATATGATGAATGAATGATTTAGTAGATGGGGGTACAGTTCTGTTTTTAAAAATGAATTAATTTTGTTGTTGTCTGTATACTACACCTTAGCGTGCGTTTCACATCTGAACGAACGTGCACCAGCGCGGAATAAGGACAAATTTTTGCGCTAAATATGCCATATTTCAGTGTTCCTCAAGACCTTAACCCGTGGTATGCGGACCGACACAAATCCGCGAAGTTTTTTGCCGGTCCGCGGAAATTTTATTCATCATAATAAATTCATCGAATAAAGTAGCAATGAAGTCTGTTATCTTTATCTGAAATTTCGGAAAGAAAATGACAGTAGAAATTATATGATGAGAAATAAAAGTTGCCTATTTTCCTCTAATAGCACATCCTACTAATTTGCATCTACTGAAATAAATTAGTTTATTTTTTCACTTTGAGAAACCTTTCTTCATGCCATCAACCTAATTTTTTGAAGGCATTCCACTATGTTGCTTCATTGCAAGTTCTTAAAATAATTTATGAAAAAAGCGGAAACTTTTCAAGTACAGTACCTGCTAAGTCTAAGTCTAAGCAAAAATAAGTAAGTCTTTTAAGCAAAAAAAATTTCAGTCTGCAAAAATTGTATGAAACTTCGCAGGCTTAAGAAATTTTTTGCGAGTTCTTTCGGCTTTTCGCTGATTCTCACATCATGTATACAGCATTGGGCTAAATTGCTGCACGATCATATGATGAATGAATGATTTAGTAGATGGGGGTACAGTTCTGTTTTTAAAAATGAATGAATTTTGTTGTTGTCTGTATACTACACCTTAGCGTGCGTTTCACATCCGAACGAACGTGCACCAGCGTGGAATAAGGACAAATTTTTGCGCTAAATATGCCATATTTCAGTGTTCCTCAAGACCTCAACTTGTGGTATGCGGACCGACACAAATCCGCGAAGTTTTTTGCCGGTCCGCGGAAATTTTATTCATCATAATAAATTCATCGAATAAAGTAGCAATGAAGTATGTTATCTTTATCTGAAATTTCGGAAAGAAAATGGTAGTAGAAATTATATTCTGAAAAATTAAAGTTGCCTATTTTACTCTAATAGCACACCCTACAAATTTTTATCTGCTGAAATAAATTATTTATTTTTTCATTGTGAGAAACTTTTCTTCATGCCCATCAATGTAATTTTTTGAAGGCATTCCGCTATGTCGCTTCATTGCAAGTTCTTAAAATAATTTATGAAAGAAGCGGAAACTTTTCAAGTACAGTACCTGCTAAGTCTAAGTCTAAGCAAAAATAAGTAAGTCTTTTAAGCAAAAAAAATTTCAGTCTGCAAAAATTGTATGAAACTTCGCAGGCTTAAGAAATTTTTTTTTAATTTGCTGGTCCGCAAAAAATTGTTATGGAAATTTTCTGGTCCGCCGGACCCAAAAAGGTTGAGGATCACTCCATTACATAAATTATAAGTATTTTCATCGAATTTAACAATTATGAATGCTTTCCAATTTGTTTACCCGTAGATTTTTCCACTGTGCAGTGCGGTAATGCTGAAGTACCGTGCGTTGACTACATTTTAAATGCCAATGCGAGTGTCACTACCAGGAAATGTGTCAAAGCCACGCAAATCTGCGATGGGTACAGAGATTGTTCCGATGGCTCTGACGAGGGTCTCCTTTGTCACAATTCATTCCAAGGTAAATCTCTTCGGATGAAAATAATCCCTTGAAAAATTGAGCAGATAATATTTTGTGCTCGCATTTTTTTTTTTAGTATGCCCGAAAATAAACGACACGGTGAAGACACCCGGCATGGAAGGTCACTTCGTGTGCAAAATGTCCGGGAATTGCATCGATCGGTTGAAGGAGTGCGATTGTTACGCTGATTGCAGTGACGAATCGGACCTTGAATCATTGTGCAATGATACGATTCACGCCGCACTCCCTCCTGGTAAAGATTTGTCAAATTTTCATTGATTTGACAGCATCAGTGATTGTATGATTGAAAACTATGGAGTGTGACATATACGTTTCCTTTGCGGGTGTATATAGGTGCCCGAACCGACAACTGCACTGATGAAGAATCCACTAATGCTCGTGAGTTGTCAATTTTTGACGTTTTTTTTTGTATCTCCGAATTACAGTACCGCAAATTTATTGGCATAGATTTTTAGCTGCCGAGATTTTACGTGCCATTTTTGATCCGTGGTATTTTTCTACTGCGTTCGCTGAAATCAATTCAGAGCAAATTATTTTAAATAGGTTTCTACGGAGTTGATCCTCTGGACATCGAAGAGATAATCAAACGTTCCCAAACCGGCGACTTGAGTGACGTGCAATTGGTTGTCACGCCATCTGCCGATAATATTGAGAGATACGGAACTAGAGCAGAAGATTTTATCCTTTCCTGCAGCATCGACGGGAATATTTGCAGTTACAAGTCAGTTAATTGTGATCTTGATAAACTCGATCGGAGGATTTATTTGAAAATATGTGTTTGTTATATTCAGGGATTTCTTCAAATGGCAGAGTCACGAGTACGGCAATTGCTTCACGTACAACAGCCCGTACTTGAGGTACCAGGATAATGACACAACCTCATTTGATGACGTTTATACCACGTCACACTACGGCGCTACGGTGACTATGCTTTTTATAGATGTTTTTAAGCTGGCATATTTTCCTTACAATTTAAGGAATATAACCACTTTAGTTGGAGAGCCCTTTAAAAACCTCATCGGACTGTTGTTCGAAAATTTATGCAGACTTTTTTTTCATTTCAATTTATATTATTGCCGCCTCAAATACGAGTTATTGTGAAGTTCCAGCGCATTCTCCGCCATTTCAAAAATAAATTTTATCGACGGATGATTTTTTTTATAGAAAAATGAATTATATGATTTTTGCGCTTGGTGTGAAGTACGTTGAACCTCGATAATTTGAATCTCCCCGACTCGAGTTTTATCAGACATTTTTTGAATTTCCTTGGGAACAATAACGCATCAAAAACTTCGCTATCTCGAAGGCTTTTCTCCTCAAACTTTCGTATCTCGAATTCTATTATGGATGCCTTTTGGCTGTCACTTGATTGACGCAGAAAATAGAAAAGCTGTAGAAAGTTACCTTGATGATTATTATTTTTGAAAGGAAGTCAAAGACTAATTAAGCAGATGAATCCTTGTCTCCAAGTTCAGCATCGCTTTTGACTCATTTAAAAAGCGACGTGAAGCCCGAAATATTCTCAATTAAAATTTATCGAAATTCTTCTTGTTTCCCTCAACAAAACTTTCCCTGATTCTGAGCTTTACCAATTCCTTTTTTTTTGCTGGTCCCTTAGAGTTTAGCTGAGAGAGGTTTGACTGTGTTTAAATTTTTTATTTTAGGACTTCTTTTGATGATATTTTTCCAATTGTACCTGATGAACTTGTTTTTTAGTGCTTTATAGAAACGAGAACTTTAATTTTTTAAGAAATATATTTTTTCACAATCGATTTTTAAATGGAATCAAACTTCTATTGCTCAATTTTAGGGAATTCATCCGCGCGCAATCACCGAAAAGGAAAAAAAAATGGTTCCGCTGTAACTTATCAGAATATGGTTGATCAAGATACATGCTCGATTATAAAAATGCTTTAAAAATATCAAACTTGAATTGAGAATTTTTGTGCTGAGTGAAATCATCCTTTCAAAGAATGGACTCAAGCTGATCTTGAACGTGGAGTCGGAAGAATATTTGTCATCATTCACGCCGGACGTGGGCGTAAGAGTCGTCGTGCATTCCAACAACCAAATCCCATTCCCCGAAGATTCCGGCATTGACATTGCACCTGGATACACAACTGCCATAGGCGTAAAGAAGGTTTGTGGAAATTCGTTTTTAAATTTTTTATTTGGTGGAATATTTTCTTCGTGATGATTTATATAGAAAGTCATCAACCGAGCCAGCTATCCGTACGGAGTCTGTCACGGATCCGAATGGGATTACAACGGAGACTACTCGAAAATCGTATGATTATTTTTTCTTTGCAAATTTCTGAAAAAAAAAAGAATTATTGATTTGAACACGTGATGATTTCTTTTCAGGCGTGTGACAAAGCGTGCATTGAGTTTCAAGTTCGCACTGTGTGCAAGTGTTCTTCATTGCTGAGTCCGTTGTTTGATGATCACAACGTAACCGGAGAATCTCGTCTCATCCCGAGATGTTCTCCCACAAATGAAACACAAGGTTGTATTTCTTCCTGGAATTTCGCTGAAAGATTTCCACGTTTTCAGTCTTTTCTGAATTTTAACGCAGCATTTTTTTATTCCTTTGTTTTTGCTCTCAACTTTCTTCAGATAAATGCTACAACAAAATCTGGGAGAGTTACAAAACTGGCGAGCTCGAATGCCCCTGTGATCCGTCGTGCTCGTAAGTTCACTATAAATATACTGGACAAGAATAATATGATAATTCAAATTCTGTTTTTATTTATTTCAGAGATGAGGAATACTTATCGACCGTTTCTCAGAGTGAGCAAAATAAGCGGTTCAGTTACATGTTGGCGCGGATCAAGCGTTACTACGTGGCCCCCGAATTCTGTCAAAGGTATATGTTTCAAAACTGGACATAACATATTCAATTGAAATTATAAATATTAGCCATCAAAATGTGCAAGATTTACTCGAAATTTCCAGGCATGGTAAACTGAACTTGCTGGCGAATGTAAGACATTTTTTTTCACACGCCGGTGATGAACTTGACAGAAACTGTTTTACGAACAGCATATAAAGTGTGCCAATTTTTAAACAGCTATATATCCTTAAAAAAAAAGCGTTCTACTCGGAAACTGATGTTTCATACTCAAATAAAATTTGATTTTACTAAAATTACCGTCAAGACTCTAGAGCAAATATGCTCATCATTGAAACTTCGCTTTGATAATAAGTCAACCGCTTTGAAAAACTAAATCTTGAATCCTTCCTCAGATTTTCTCTTTGAGTTTTAAATTTCTGTGTTTATCGCGTATTATTCTGTGCAGTGAATGTATCCTTCTATGCTCATTGAGTCATTGTAGCCTTCGTCATTTAAAAAAAAATGCGAGTTTTTTTTTAGCTAAAAATTAGCATTGCCATGAAAATTCAAGTCACCTTCACCTCTAAGGCGCATCCTGATTGTTTAAGTAGTGATGGGCAAAAATGCCTTGATAATTTTTTTTAATTCAGTTGATTTCTTCGGATGCAAAATAATGTTCGAATGTGACTTTGATTTTATAAGTGACCCGAACAAAATGAGCACTGTGAGATTGAAGATCTACGTCGCCTCGACAGCAGTGGAAACGATCGAGGAATCTCCGATGTATACGGTAAAAAAAAAAATATTGCATGAAACTTTAAATTTAAAATTCAGACTATGATTCATCTGGATTTCAGTGGGAAAATTTGATTGCGAACATCGGTGGTATCTGGGGATTCTACCTCGGATTTTCCGCCGTCACCGTGTTGGAAACATTCGAGTTCTTCGGCTACTTATTCCCGTTTTTCTGCAAGAAATGCAAGCAATCCCGGAAGAATAATAAGGCAGCCAGAAAATCTTCCGACTGTGAAAGTGACGACAGTGAGTGAAAATGTCGCTGTCGATACGATCCGATTTAAAAAAAAGAAAAGAAAACTTCCTTTGGAAATTATTCGCCTGCTGCTTTATAGAAAATGTTGCGCCTTCGAACGGAGTTCAGAAACCTCAGAATAAGGGGCTTTTGTATCCATTGCCACCTGCTCTCGCCTCGACAGGAGTCTTTGGAATGGACTTGAAACCCGTCGTTTACAATCCTCCACCGAATGCTTCGAACTTGAATGTGCAATCTGCTGCCGAATCAGTCGATAATGTCAATGAAACCAGAGAAAAGCCACCCATGAAGCGAGTCGCCAGCCCTGCTTGGACCGACCCTTTTGATTTCTAAATGAATATAAGCACTGAAAGAAAAGCGTTGTCCCAAGAGAATTTTCTTTTCTCTTTGGTTTCTTTTTTTGGTACACACACATATATACAGTATATGTGTGTGTATAAAAACAATCAGCTGACATTTTTGTGTGAATTCTGTGCTGCATTATATTGACTGAATTCCAAAGTCCGAATTGAACGTACCCCGATTTCGATTTTAGTAGCTCAGCAAACGTATGCGCGTAATTATTACTTTTTGAGTGAAATTAATTTCATACCGTGGCAAAAAATTGTCCGACTTTTACTGTATCAAGTATTTTTTTTTTCATGGCGTGCACGTGTAACTCTTGGTGTTCTGCTGATGCTGATGATGCTTTGTTAAACAATAATGTCACACAGCACTTTCGTGTAGGTTCTTGCTGTTCGACGAATATCTTATTCTCTCGGGTGTTGGATGTTTTTAATTTCTCGAATTTGAATTTCTTTTTGATCATTTTCCTTGATTCAAGGAAAATGCATTTTCATTGATGCCTTAAAAAAGAATGGACTCTGTAATGTGGCGATTGTCACCTTCACTTCAAGTTCAGCATCCTGTCAACTCATTTATTCAGCATTAAATATCATAAATATCTTCTACTTTTTTATTTTCCTCCAGCAAAAATGCTGGTATCACACAAAAAAGTTGTGGGTCCTTCCCGCAGAATTTGAATTAAAGATGCATGACTGTACTGTATTCATCATTTGATTCAATAAATCTGCAGTAATTATTGGAGCATTTAGACCAGTGTTCCCCAACTCATATGGTCTGTAGTAGTTTTTTTGGTCCGCAGGAAATTTTCTTCAGCATAATAAATTTATTAAAAATTGCAAGGAAGTCTATTACCTTTATCTGAAATTTTGGAGAGACAATAGCAGTTGAAATTATCTGATGAAAAAGGAAAGTTGGCTTTTCTCCTAATAACTCTTCAGACAAATTTTCACCTGCTGCTGAAATTAATTTTTTCAATTTTTTATCCTTAAAAACCTCTCCTTCTTGAGCCCACCTTTCTAATTTTTTGAAGAGATTCCAAGAAAGCTGTTTCCTTGGTTGTTGACTTCATTTTTGAAAAAAACAGAAGCTTTTTAAATACCTGCCATAAAGCCTTTCAAACAAAAGTTTTTTGAGGTTGCAAAAAGTTCATGAAACTTTGCCTGCATGCAAAAAATCTTTTTGAAATTTGTCAGCCTGCAATTTTTTTTCAGTTGCTGGTCCATGGGCCCAAAAAGGTTGGGGAACACTGATTTGGAACAAAATACATGTGCAGCACATTTATTCCAGTGAATGCGTGGTAAAAGACTGAGTTGATTTTATTTTTGCCTTACAGTCAAAAATGCAATGGAATTTCAATCTTTCCCTCATATCTGCAGGCACCATTATTATAAAGTAGAATCTTGTTATACAACAAAGTCTTTCATTCATCATAAATTAACTACAGTGACACCCTGACATATGTACAGTTTGACTTATAGGGATACTTATTGGAAACCAAAAAAATCATGCCTCCAGACATTGGCTCAAGTTAGGGACACTTTTCTGAAATTTCCCCAAATAATCATAAAATTTAATTTTTTTCATTTTGATATCTTTTGAATAAATCAAGCTATTTATATTCACCAAAAAAAATATTTCATGATCAATTCACTCTAATTTGTAGGCAAAAGTAAGCTTACTTTGTGCATATTTTTTCTGTCATTTGTGCATATTCTAGCAAGACTTATTCTTTTTTTTTTGCTTTTTGATCTCATTTTGATGCCAAAAGATCAGATTCTATGTTGTGTTTTTCTGCACGGTTCTTTTCTACAACTTGAAATTGAGGGAAACAATTTTTATTAAATTGTTCAAGGATGACTTATTTATAATTTTTTGACAAAATAGAGAACCAATTGAATAAATTGGCATTGAAGTCTAAGGGAAAATGAGACTGGATTTAGGTACATTCCAACATAAGGACACTCTAAATGCACCAATTATGTCCGCATCTTGGGGTCTCACTGTAATTTAAAATTGCTGGTAATATTGGACAGGAACCTAAGAAAGATGCTTCTCTTTAAAAAAAAAAATTCGTTGTAAGGAGATTCTACCGTATACAGACAACCCCTGCACAACAGACTTCATTTTTTCAACAGACCAGTCTGTTTTTGTAAAAAGTTTGTAATGCAAATTCAATTATTAAAAAATCAAAATTTATACTTTTTAGCATTAATCTCTAACCAACGGAGGTCTGTTATGCACCATTAGTCCATTGCGCAGGAGGGAAAACTGCCTCCAGAGGCAGTCTGTTGTGCTAAAGTCCGTTGTGCGGGAGGTCTGTTGTGCAGACCTCCCGCAATTCAATAAAAATTGTTTCCCTCAATTTCAAGTTGTAGAAAAGAACAGTGCAGAAAAACACAACATAGAATCTGATCTTTTGGAATCAAAAGGAGATCAAAAAGCAAAGAAAAAAATGTCTTGCTAGAATATGCACAAATGACAGAAAAAAATATGCACAAAATAAGCTTACTTTTGCCTACAAATTAAAGTGAATTCATCATGAAATATTTTTTTAATTTTTGTGAATATAAATAGCTTGATTTCTTCAAAAGATATCAAAATGAAGAAATAAAATGTTATGATTTTTTGGGAAATTTTCAGAACAGTGTCCCTAACTTGAGCCAATGTCTGGATGTTGAGAACTGATTTTTTTGGTTTCCAAGTATCCCTAAGTCGAATTGTCCATATGTCAGGGTGTCTGCGTATTGTGGTCTCACTGTAGTTAATTTATGATACCGTACTGCATATACTGTACTGTACTACAATCGGAAGTGCGAGCTGGCGTTGCTCGCCTTATTCGGCCACATAGTGAACGAGGCCACGTTTTGCAACTCATCCGCGCCGTAACCGTACCGATTCGACGCGAGTGACTCAGTTTCCTCGGGCAACCGACCATCGACAGCGTCGTCATTCGTCGTGCTGTACCTGTACCTTCGTCTCCTCTTGGCTGCTTCTTCAGTCGTGATCCGTTCAGCGAGTTCCGTGATCATCGGGTCGAAGCCTTCGAGAGCCATGTTCTGCGCCAAACGGTACAGGAGGAAAAAGTCGCCGGAGAACAATCCGGTTTCGTTGATGACGCAAGTCAAGTTTTCCTTGGCGATGTTGCCGCTTTTGCTCGCCAGGGAGCCGAGTCGTCGAGACTTGAAAAGAAACGTTGCCCAGTGTAACAAGGACATGAACGTGGCTATCGTGAGGATCATGAACCAGAACCAGAGGAAGGCGAAAATCTTTTCGTTGAGCACGTTGCTGGGCAGGATGCACATGCTGTCCTTGTTTTGCACGGATCCCGACGGGCCGAAGGTGTAGAAATTGCACTTGACCACTCTGGAAAAAAAAGAAGAAAAAAGTGAGTGAGTTCATTATTTATGAAGCAGATGGCGTGAGTTGTACGTGAAGCCTTTTATAACCTTTTGTCGTGGCGTGATAATGAGTCACGATGATAGTCACCATTTCTCAAGTCATATTCGATCTATGACTGACTCGTAGTATCTCTTGGACGAGTCTGAACCTGGTTCAAGGTCAAAAAGCAAGGTTGGATGCAAACTTATGAATCTTCACATGGAGGGAAAATACAATTTTCCAAAAATTTGCATTGTGCTTGAGGACATACGAGGGTTCTAACAAAAGTTCTCGGAATATAAATTAAAATGGAATATAATTGAGCTGAAAAAATGTATTCTTTAGGGAAAAAATATTCTTTGGCACAAGAAAAAAATCAGCCCTGTTTGAAAATTTTTTTTAATATTTTGCAAAATTCACCCTGATGGCAGAGTTTTGCTCTCCACTCAAAGGATGAGGCGCCCTTCCTGCAGATTTTGTTGTTGTAGCCCAGCTTTCCCCTCAGAATTTTTTAAATCAACGTGGCACTAATTCCAAGGGTACTGCCTCCAGGTCTTCCAAGGTGATTTCGCCATTTTCATCAACAGCCGCCACATTGGCAGCTGTCTAATGAAAATGGCGGAATTACCTTCGGTGAAAAACTCTGCCAGGATGAATTTTGCAAAACATTCAAAAAATTTTCAAACAGGGCTGATTTTTTTCTTGTGCCAAAGAATATGTTTTCCCAGAAGAATCAATTTTTTTCTGCTGAATTATATGCCATTTTAAGTTATATTTTCCGAGAACTTTTGTTTGACCCCTCGTATTGAATATAGAATGGCAATGTTTTTTTGGATTAGTGAGAGGCGAGGAACAGGGCGCCTTTATTAATTAGGCATCAGATTTTTTTTTAAACATTTTTATTACTAATTTTCCAGCTGTATAGACCGACCAAGTTCATTCATAGCGCGTCTTACATGTTTGGGAATTCTCGGGGTTTCTTTGTGCACTAATATCAATGCACTTGTTATACAAGAGTATAAAATACTGAATAATAGACGTACAGTATTTACATTTGAATCATCTCGAATTTTACTAACTTTGGAAATACTCTTGAGAGTGGATCGACACGATTCTCTGCGTCGTCGCTGTCGAAATGCGCGAAGATGTCGAATCCGAAGTAGGCGAATTTCCCGCCGAGAAATGCATTCATGAAGACGAAATTGCCCACTACTATCAGCAGATTGGCAAACTCACATGCGAGGTAAGCTGCAAAATACCTCGAGTGAGTTCCGCGACTCTTGTACAAATAATTGGCCAGATCATCAATCGTCGGACGCTTCGCATCAGCATCAGCTAATGACGCGTTTGGTCTCCAATCTATGAATTTTTGTGAAAACAGAAAACTTTAGTTTCTAACCAGAATGTAAAATTTCGAAAATTCGAAGATTTCGTTGACCGTTTTGTTGCACCTCTCTCGCGGTCATCATGGGGGATAATATACTGTGTTTTTCATAAATTTCCTGATGACTCCGGTATTTTTTTAAATATGCAGGTCCCACAAAGAATATCATAGCATAAACATTTGAAAAAGTTATGTTTTAACTCTTTCAAGATTAAATTAAATTCAAGCTTGGTGACCGAAGATCATTTGATGTTTTTTTTTCTTGTCAAAGAAAAGCTCGATGACTTGCTGCACATTTTCACGGATCGAAAACTATTGTAAATTGAGTAAATTAGCTTAAAAGAAACCCAAATTCATAGCGTTGAACGCTGAAACATTTTCGACGTTGGCCATCAAAAAATCTAAAATAAAATGAGAAATGAGTGTAATTCTGTGAATGAAATTCTTTCAACGAACAATAACCTTTGATATAGGATAGAACCACAGCATGTGCCGTGAGATTCGCATGATATTATTCAAGTTGAAGTACAGCAAAATGAATAAAATTAGCATCGATGATGACTTTGTATACGGTAATACATCTGAGAATATTTCCCGAATAATTTTTGCGTGTGATCCGCGGAAAAGTTTGCTTCTGTATACGGTTCTCTGCCTCATTTGCATGCATTATACGTTTTAAAAAAAATCAGAAATTGAAAACGTCTCACCACCGATGAGTTTTTCCAGCTTCTTGTTTTCGATGTTCTTCCATATGACGCGTGTGATACGGAAAGATGCCCCACTCAACAGCAATATGAATGGTACCCATAAATAGTATGACTGGTACGTTATTTCTTCGTTCCGTCTCGGCGAAAAAGCCCCAACCCCGGGGGCAATAGCGTCTAATCCTGTTCTGCCTGTGTATACAAGAAGTTATTATTGGTGTCATTCAGATGATCAAAAGGATGGTCAATTCACTGATTATGCATCTTAAAGTCCTCCCTATTGGTTCCATAGTTAAGTGACATTGAATCAAGAAACATTCAGGCAATCCTTGTTATTGGAAAATATGCCTTATTCATTTTCTGCTCCCCTCTCAATTTTTGCGTGACTGTTCTTTTTTTTTTTAATATTTATTGATCCATTTCCATCACAAAATGTACTGTATTTAATCATCTACCATGCAAGTCCCCGCATTATACAGAGCTATGCTGTTTCTGGATGCATTTCATTGTGCAGAATTTTGCAATGAAACACACCATTTCCCTCAGCTGAAGTTTTTAATCAATTCCAGACACTCAACAAAATGCCACAATAACCCTTCACTGCTGGGAAGTGGTGATTTGAAATTCATCAATGTGAAATTAAAGTTTTCCTGACAAATGCATGTTTGTGTCTTCCTAGATTTTTTTTTAAATTCTCTCCAAATTGTTTCATCAACTAAACCTTATCTATGAGCAGGTTGAACACCTTGTGCTATAATTTGGGTTTAGTAATTGCTTTAAGCTGCAATTTGTATAACTGGTATTTTGTCTTTGTGAACAGGGAAGGGAATGTTGCAAAAATTAAATGGCTGTATTTGTCACACAAAATCAGAGAACCCAAATTCTTGAGAAAATCATCTTCCTTTATCTTTGTGAGAATCAAGGAAAACCTTGGTTCTCGCAGTTCTTTCAGAAGCCTTTTCAAGGCTGTCTTTCACTGCTAAAATCCAGTTGCTGTTTTTTGCCCTTGAAGGATAGTTTTCCTGTTTTCCAAATCTGCATACAAACTTCATTTCCATTTGTGCTCTCGTGTCATTCACTCGACAATTTTATGCGTAAAAACCATTTGTGCGTGATTTGAACATTCTCAAAGTACAACAACTTTAAAATAGGGAGAATTTTCACCCCGATTGCAGCCCAACCAAATTCTGTTGTTTCATTTTTTATAAAGAATCTGAAGTTCAACCTTTTTTCCTTAACATCTATATTTGTTGAGGATTTATTCCTGACAGGGAAGAAAGTGTACATATTTAATTCAGTTGTGCAGTTTCACTTTTTGGGATGTATTTTCTTTTCTTTTGATATCCATGTACAGCTTGTTTCTCTATTTTCCATTCTGATTTGAAGAATGTGTTTGGGTGAATGTGAGTTCGGAGGGGAGGGGGCCCTGGATGTGGGAACATTGTTTTAACCTTGTGAACGCTGAAAAGTGGAAAATAAAGCTTGCTGTTCAATTCAATTCAATACTAAATTCAAAGACCAGAAGATACATACAGTACCTATGCCTCTTTTTCTCGCTTTCCTCAATTTCTCGAAGAATTTCACGTACATTTTAGTTCAAAACTTGCTACAAATCAGGGGAAAAAATGTCTATGTCAGGAACAATCTCTTTAGTCATTGTATTTCCACAAGAATTTTTAAAAAAAATATATATAGTTTTTTCTTCATCGTATAATCCTAGTCTATTTCCTGAAAAACCGGGACTCGCTGATGCGTATAGAGGAAAAAAAATGTAGTGCAAATACCTGAGATCGCATCCGGCCCGGAGATGTATTTGGCAACTGTGAAAGTTCGCGACAGATAGCAATAGTTGCTGACGAAGCGCTGATTGAAAGGCTGGTCATCGTTGGAGATGTCGTGAAAGCATTTGATTTTTTCGCCAGTTAGGTCAGTTTGTGACAGCAAAAGCGACGAGGCGAATATTATCGTGGCTGTGAGACGGTAATGCAGTCGAAACACTGCTCCGTCGATCTGAGGCTTCCCGATCGCATTTATTTGCGCCACGCCGCTCGACACAGTTGCCAATGTTTCGAGAATAACCATTTTTAAATTTATTTTTGCTGTCTATCAACCGATCGAGGATTTTTTTCCAGCGTTTTCTTTTCCTGCGACGTGATGTCGAAAATGTTTTGATTGCGATTCCAGGTACAGTAATCGTTCTATATGTATGAACTGTGACAACACAGGAAAAAAAAAACAATATACTGTATCTGCATCTTATTTTTCAACCATAAGATTCTTAATACCGTACTTTTGATCGAAGGAAAATTTCTGTAGTACGTGAAATATGACATATGGTCTTTTACACAGGAAATATTTTGAGACGGTCTTAATGCGAAAGTGACACTTGCAAACTGTTATTTGAGGGAGTCATTCGCACTTTTTTTTCACAGTGCTTCAATTTTTCTTGAGCGAGCCAAATTTTGTTCATTCTCTAGGCGCAGCAGTGATTAAAAGCAAGAAATTAAAAGCAAAATTAAATGTAAAAGGATTCAGTGATTGATGTTCTTCCGAGTTTTGTTTCAGTTCTTGAGGCACAATTTGTCGGAATGACGTTTTCTCTATCCTAAATATCGAAAGCTGTTCCACTTTTTGAAACGTCCTTCAAATACTGCATGTATTCACTTCAACCCTAATTACTGCAAATCTTCCTGGAATTTTTCTTACTCTTGCAACAATACTATACGCGTCATTCAAACGATGAATTGCAAATTAATACCACCATCGTTCCAGTCAAAATGCTTCCTTTTTCTCAGCACATCCTCTCAAATTTTTTAAAATGGAAACATGAAGAAGATTGCCGGCATCTTCCAGAAACATTCTGTCGCGAAAAGAATCGAAAGCCGGGTATATTTCTTGAAGTGCTGAATCATGCCTGGGTTACGGTCCTATTTGCATATTCAGTTTATTTCAGTCTCTCTTTTGAAATCCAAACTCATTCAAGTATCGTCCGCAAAATAAAAAATATATATATAAAAAACCGCTTTCATACGCGGTTGCTTACATATTTATGCAAAATTTAATTTTGGGAAACCATATCAGAATTGGCCGGAAAATATATATTCCAGATAACTGTCATCAGGTTTTAATTGGTTAAAATTAAAGTTTATACTCTTCTCTAAATTTTAAAAGTGATGTGCTCACCATATTCAAATCAAACGATATTCGCGCGAATATCTCGAGTATTGGCCGCACAGGCGATTTTTTTGTGAAAAAGGTAAGAGAAGTAATTTTTTTTAATGAATTGAAACATTTTAAAAATAAATTTCTCGATATCTTCTTGATAGAGTCTATTTATTTTTCGCTCGGTGTAGAAACAAATTTAAACGTCAAATGTATCAACCACCGCTGAGGCCGTGAGATATTTCTCATAAATCATCGTTTAATGCATTTGCAGTTTCCCGCCAAATTTGCAGCAAAATCTCTGTAAAAAGTTGAATATTTAAAAAGATATCCTCTCTTCTCACTTGACGGAAAGAAGCTCCAAATGAGAATGATAATTATGTGAACATGATTAACTGGAACCCGTCACCAGGCCCTTTATTGAGTTCCTCCTGAGGTTGGCCAATTTAGGCTGTGGTAGCTTTAAAAAGGAACAATTCAAAAACAATTTAAAATTTGAAAATTTCGAGGATATTTTATTTCGTGTAAAATAATCTCCCCCCTTTTTTTCAGACCAAAGCTGGCATAAATTGACGAAACCCCCCCCCCNGTGCGAAACACGATTCAAACCCCCCCCCCCCCCCCCCCCAAAAAAAAACTCATTCAAGGGCCCAAAGCTGGCGGACTCTTCGAAAAAAAAAGCGTGGTCACATAATTATCTATCTCAAATTCAGCTTCATTTTTCCAAAATGAGAAATGGGAAACATAAAAAACTCGAGAATCTTACAGAGATTTTATTGCACATTATTTGAAGAGCTTTAAAAAAAATGTTTGAGACAAACTATACTTTTGAGCGAAATTTTGCGCTGTGTCACACGACGTTTTCAAACATCCCATGGACACTCGTATACTATTCAACCGTGATTGTGTGCGGAAGCACTTTATGATGAGCATAAGAAGTCATGATTTTGCTCGTCATCTCGAACGCGTTATTCCCGCCGCCCTGCTGTCGACCCGCCGACGCCGAATCCGCGTCGTCATCTCGTCGTCGTCGCTGCTGCTGGTGCTGTCGCAATTTATCCGACGACGCCAGGACGTCAATGAGTTGGGAAAATGCTTCAGTCGGCATATTGAGACTCAGTTGGAGGAGGAGGAAAAAGTCTCCGACGTTGGACATTTTCTGGTAGACGACTGCGTTGACGCTCGTGGGTTCCGCCCGACGACTCTTGCTCATCAGGAGCTGGGTGCGACGGGCTGCGCTGGTGGCGACCCAGACCCAATGCAGGAGTGACGCGGAAGTGACGGGGATCAGGACGAAGAAGAACCACCACCAGAGGAAGAAGAAGACCTTTTCCGCGAATATGTTCATGGCGAGGATGCAGATGGCGGGATTGTTCACGATGGTGCCTGACCTGAATGATGGGAATCGAAATTTGAAAGGCGGCAAAAACGTCAATTTTTATTTCATAAAAAATTATATATATATATATATATATATATATATACAGTGAAACCACCAGATGCGGACGTAATTGGTGCATCAAGAGTGTCCCTAAGTTGAATTGTCCCTAAGTCAAGTCTTGTTTTTGAAAAAAGTATAAGTCCATCTATGCTGGAGGTAATCTTTTAAAATCAGCTAAATGTATGGTAAATTGGTGAAAGAAATGCCCAAGAACTTTTCTTACATCAATTTTAGGGTTGGCATATCCATTTATTGTACTTCGGCCTGAAATGTATTTGCAATTTTATCACAAAATGTCCCTACGTTGAGTCAGTGTCCTCATGTTGGGCCTTATTTATTGATTTTTCAGGGAAAATAAGTGTCCCTACGTCGAATTGTCTGCAGTTCAAGGTGTCTGCATGTGGGGGTCTCATTGTATATATATATATACAGTATATACATATCCAGAGAAAATAGTTGTATAGACAAGATCGTTGTAGAGAGGTCCACATTATTGTATACAGTTTCAGTTTATCACTGCTGCTGCTGCTGCTTGCAGTGATAACTAATTTTTCTTTGGTTCCCATAGGGTTCTCTTATTCCGGTGCTGCATAAGTGTTCTCTACAACGAAATTCTCTCTACAAGGAATTTTTCCTTGTCTCTTGAATTTCTAGTTATTCATATACAGAGGGTTAACATCTGTATGACTGAAAAATGTTACGATACAAATATATGATAGGATGTGTCTATACTCACACTCCAACGGTATGGAAGTCACAGGCAGCAACTCTGGGGAAAACTTTGATGAGAGGGTCGATCCGTTCCTCGTCATCAACTGCAGAATATTTCAAATATTCCACCCCTAAGCCGACGAAACGTCCAGCCAGGAATTTGTCCATCAGAAGTATATTCATGACTACGACGACGAGATTAAGCAGTTGAGCCCCGAGGTATCTGACTAAATACCAAGTATGCGATCCGTGGCTCGAGATCAAATAATCCGCGAGTCGATCAGTCGCATTTTCCCGCTCTTTTTCACTTTTCATGACGTAAAGCTTCCTGTTTTCCGGCTCAACGTGTTCTTTCAACAAGCTTCTCAGTTTCCCACGTTCCAGTGCTTTCCAGATCTCTCGGGGCACCCGAAAGGAAACCCCCGAGACCAGGAGCACGAACGGGATCCACAAGTAGAATTTGTGCTGGGTGAAATAATCTTGGCTGGTTTTGGGATCCAAAGTGCGATCCAGCCTCGGCCCGACACCCGGTGCCAAGACGTGGACCCCGACTCTGGGCAACTGTTTCCGATCGCTGCCCTTGAATACCCGGGGTTCGTACAAGTGGGTCACGGTTTTCGTGCCCATGGAGAAGCAGTAGGAATCCATGAACCTTTGGGCACTGGCGTCTTTGGCCGCGGAGCTCATACAGTCGATCTTGGACCCGATGAGTTCGGTTGCCGAGAGGAGCAAGGAAAGCCCAAAGATGGCGCTGCAGGTGAATCTGTAATGTAGCTTGAAGGTGAATCCGTCGATGGCGACGGCACCGAATTTTTCTAGCCCATGCAGACTGCCGAGAAGGGCGAGGGTTTCCAGCAACACCATTTAAATAAAAACCCACGCGAGTCCCGATCGAGAACCTTTCAATAAGATGAAAATAATGATCAAATAAATTAGTTATTTCAATCCGCATTTATATACAGTATACGAACGCTGCTGGTTCAAACATAATGACTCTATCTATATTTGACATTATGGTTGCATTCCCGAAAAAAAATTATTTGGGTACATTATGTTCATTTTTCGTACATTTCTATGCATCAGGCGTTCCGTTTATAATTAATTAACTTGCTGCTGGCCGGAAAACTTGATGCTGATGATCAACCAAATTACGTAATTGGTACGACGCAGTAACGAGACCTAGAGTTTGTTTTACAGTAAAATCCCCTTACAACGAACTCGCAGAGACCTGATAAGACTAGCTGTTTTTAAATTTGTTTTCGACTGGTGAAATATTTGGAAAATGTTGGTGGAAAAGTACTGTGAAGTGCTTCTACAACATATAATTTGAGACCGTTCATGATTTCTATGTCACTGCTGGAATGAAGACGGAAATGTTTGACTTTTTGATGAAGTTTTAATGCTGCACAATAAGTTGAGTTGTTTTATTTTTCTGTCAAATATCAAATAATCTCTATATGTCACATAATATGGGTCGAAAATGCGTACGATACGTGTACTGAGATTAAAGCTTGAAATGAGTTTATTAAAATAATGAGATTTATGGCTCTTACGTTAAAACTGCTGGGGCCAATAAAAAATATTTGAGCATTTAACAAAAATTTTGAACACTGAAAATTCATTTTAAATCAATTCGTCGTAAAGAAATTTTACTGTATTACGTAACCTTCTGGAAAGTGTTCGTCATTGATAAAACAAAACTTGAAAGTTCCATACTTTTCCGGAAGTCGATTCCAACGCCTCATTTTATTGAAGAGTACGGTATAATACAGTATCGTGTGTACGAATGTAAACGTTGAGGAATTATAATGAGTATTGAAATCGGTATTATTACACCAGCTCTTTTGTCAAGTTAATTCATATCATATTCTGCATGTTCCACTTTCAGATTTTAGGAAGGCAGCACATCTAATTATTTAATCACTGATCATATGTTTACCACATTCAAAATCCAGAATATTTCGTTCTCCCGAAAACAATCGACTGCTGGAACCTGTTTCGAGTTTGAAGTGACCCTCTCTTCCATCAGTTCATGTTCTCGGGTCTTTCTTTATACATATACTTTTCCGGAAAGCAAGTTACTCGAGATAATCTCCATGGAACTGGTTTTTCCATTTTTCTTGTGTGACTGACATTTTAGTGAATCAAGTTTCCAGTGTATCGTTGAAATTTACTCGCTTCGGTTGACGTCCGCGCATTGGTCACTTACAAAGAAAAATGCTGTACGTCTTCTGTGTTCGATGATAGTTACGTCTTTAGAAGTGATTGTACAGTTATCCTGATCCCGAGAGAACAAAAGGAAGTTGGAGGAAACCAACGCACTTCCTGTGATAGTGACTCATTTTAAGGAAGCAGTTCAAGGAAACTGTGGACTCAAATGGCTTCTTATCCCTTAATTCATATATATGACGCACTTCTGTTCGATGAATCTTGCTAAGGTTCCCTTGCGGATATTTCGCAAGGCTCTAATAATAAACAACGATGTGACATAAAAGACCGCGGCGCTTTAACTCTCGAAAATTTCGAGCTTCCATACAAATACACGTAATATATACGGTAATTGTGCAAACTTTCAGCGCTTTATTCGAGATTGAAATGAGAAGAAGCGTTTACTGATGAGCGTGGTTCCGGAACAACGCGTTGATTGTCGACAGACGATCGCATTGGGAGCTAATCCCGCGGAGTTCCCGTACATTTCGGCCATGTCTAGACGGTTTCTGTACTTCCGTCGACGTGGAAACAGGATGTTCACTCCGATGCAAATCATTGTGACAGTGACGATTTTCTTTTGCTTCCTCACGTTTTTGGCGGTGCATCGGATTTGGCATGTTGAACGCACTCTGTTTCACGAGGTACGTTAATCTCTGTGATCTACGGATGCTCCAGAGAAAATCACTTGATAATGCTAATGCTAGATGTCGCTATGGACGATGCAAAACTGTACGTTGTCTATCATCAGCATGAAGTTCTTCTGGCAGAAGTTAAAGATACAAAGAGCTATGCCTGATTTGGATATGTACTTACAATAGCTGAAAATAGAATATCTCGAATAACAGCAACAACAATACAAAACAACAACACCCAACAATGCTCAATATACGTTGAAGAACACAGCTTTCATTAGTTTTCCTGCAATTCAAGGCAGGCATCAATTGTTGTTTTTTTTTTGCAGGATCAAGTGCGAGCGTATTTTACTTCAGAGCCAGTGAAGAAAATTTGGGTACGGTTTGATGCGCCTAGTCCGCCGAAAATTTCCCAGTTGGGCAATTTGCTGTCACATTTCCGACAATTCGGCGCTGACGGGATAATAGTTGACATTCAAAGCAGTTTGGAGGACCTGTCCAGTGTCGAGCAGGATTTCGATCGTGCTGACGTGAATAATAAAGCGTCCGGTGGTGGCCAGAAAATCGGCATCGACGGGGACCAAGATGGCGTCAGTTCTGAACTGACGGATTTCTTCTACGCGGCGACAGAAGCGGATTTTTCGGTGAGTTTTCATTATTACGATTTATTTAATTACTATGTATATTGAAGTAACTAAGCCCCTGTCTGTTTGTATTTTCTGAATTGAAAATGATTAGAAATTCTCCCAATATTTGACCAATAATTGACGCGAAACGGCGAAATTATGCGGCAGTACAGTCGCACTGACGAGCGAGTGGGAATATTGTTACAGTGACACCTATGTAATTTCTCGAAATTATGATAGTTTTAAGAATCCATCTAGCGACATAGGGGACAGGATCATGCGCGCAGCCTCGCATTTCTGTCACTCATGGAAGCTGCAGATGATTTTTTGTTTATCCATACAATTTTTCTTATTATTCGCTTGTAGGTCATTCCCATGACCCCTGATCCAAAATCCTCCTTGTTCTACCTCGGTGACAAAATAACCGAACCCGTCAACTTGACCAGTTCCCTAGGCGCATCTCACTCCCTCTCGGATCCGTGTCACACCAAATGCCTAAAAAAGCTCGTCAGATACTTTGATCAGCTTTTCGAATTCTTCACTTTGCACGAGATCACTGCCCCAAGCAAATTACTCATCACAGAGCCCTGCATCTCGTTCGTCACTTTATGCGTGCAAAGTTGTCGTCGGGCTCCGGCGACCGTGCAAAACCCCGTGGCTCCTCTGCTCTGGAACGAATACGTGAAACTATTTGAACTGATTTCTGAAGTTTTGTGGAGGCGATCGCGGGTTGAAGCAATCTTGGACGGACTTTACTTCGAGTCTCTAGTGACCCCGAACGATTTGAGTGCTTTTTCGCGCGGAAAACTTGCCAAAATTGAATTTTTGCTGGGGTTTTTGGACCGATACGCGGGCTTCTATGAAGACTCGACGCGAGATCCGTCAACTAAGGTGATCTTTGTTGAATTTTGAGAGAGAATTCTGGAAAGTCTTCAGTTACGTATTTTTACCTTTTAAAAACTGCAGTACAGTCGGATTTTCGGACACGAAACCTTTTCTGTATATATTCTGCATTCCTCTTATTTTCTTATTTTTTATTTTATCGAAATTTCTTCGTAATGGTGTTTCAATTTTTGCTTGCTCCTCTAGAGCCTCCTTTGATCTACTAAACAGTTGAAGCATATAGAGATGCATTCCTAACAATTCGTTGATATCTAAAAGATACCTCAATCTGCTTATATGAAAATTGAAGCGAAATATTTTTTTTACTTGGCACAGTGGAGTATAAATTGAGCAACGAAGAGCATATACATCCTTCGAAATTCTTCGTGACGCGCAAATCTTTTGCAAATTTTTTTATGTAATCAAGAGCATTTCTGAAAATGTGATGGTACAGTACATTATTTTCCACACACACAAAAAAAAAATCGCGGGAAATTAATCATTATGCATCAAGTGGGCGATGCCACGAATGATAAATTAAAGTGAGCAGAGAGAAAATATTAATCGAGGTTCTGTATGTGATAAGGATCATCAAAGAAAACTGAAACTTAAGACATTTTGAAACAAAAGATGGCATTAGATGTTCAAAAAAAGTATTCGTGATCGTTCTTCTTTGAATTGTAATTGGACGGATGTTTCACGAATATCGACAATCCGATGGTTAATTGAAAAATTGCTTAAAGGCTCTCAGCCTTGGAGACTCGTATCGCAGGACTTTTAAAGTGCAAAAAATCAATAAAATATCATTTGAATACATTTAGGTGAAAAAATAAATATCGTATCTGTTCATTTGCCGAAGATTGCGAAAGCTGTGCGTTCTTCGCATCCTCTGTTATTTGCGGAGTTGGATCTGCCTTTGACCGAGGACCAATGGTGCAAAGCGGAATTCGTAAATGCGAACGCTTTGGCGGATTGCGCCACACATTTTTCCGAGTTTGGGCTTGACAAACTTTTGGCACGACGGGAATTAGTCTGGAAACTTAGGGAAACCACGGTGTGGAAAGGTTTTGTTGTTAGAGTTCACGGAGGGCCTTTCGGAATATTGCCCTTTTCTGTGCCTTCGGCTCTGGCTGGCCTCGCTGCTGTCAAGTGAGTTTTTCTTTGCCAAACCAGTCATTTTCATTTTAATTTGACCAATTTATCCTTTCCTGCATTCTTTTTTGGTTCGATCAACTCGGTTTAAAATACAGGTGAACCTGCTAAGTTGAACCTCCCTATGAGTCAAATACCTCCCTAACTCAAATTTTTTTTTGAGTCCCTGTCTGGATTCCCATAGAAGCAATGTATTAAAAACCTCCCTAACTCAAAGTAGTTTTCTCTCATACCTCTGTAAGTCGAATTTCCTGAGGCCTTTTGGTCATTATTTTCTTGAAATATGAAAGAGAAAATCAACAAAACAAATTATTTTATGCGTTTTGAAATAAAGTGAAGGATAAATTTAATAAATGAACCCCTGCCTACAAGTTCGGCAAGCTGTAAACTCATTAAGAAGCAAGTTTAGGCCCAGAATATCCTCATCTACAATTTCCCATTTTCCTTGCAGCAAAAATATTTGTTTCCTTTACTCAAAAAATCAAAACCTCCCCAAGTCAAAACCTCCCCAAGTCAAAACCTCCCCAAGTCAAAACCTCCCTAAGTCAAATTTTGTTCCTGGTCCCTTGACTTAGAGAGGTTCAACTTTATCTGGAAGTTAGCATTTGCAAAAAATTAACTTTCTTAATTGCCAAAAAAACTTGCTCGACTTTAATGCTGGATTTTGACAAATTTCACAATAATGAGAATTTAAAACATTGAGAATTGCAGCATGAGTAAGGCTTTGTCATCCAATGTTTAATTGAGTGTCCTACGTTATGTTCATAATGCATAATTGCTGTGGAGTTTCCTTTGACATCTTTTACTGTATGTGCATATAGAAACCATGGCACATAACAGTATTTGGTTGTCATCAGCTGCTTCTCATTTGTTCAGGTTTCTTTGCAGTACATCCATGGCTGTTCACCTGTTGTCTTGCAAATCTATAAAGGTGTGCCCAAGCACATCTCTGGTATTCATTGTTGGTTTGGTATTTGCTGCGGAAAGTTTGGTCCACAAAATATCTTTCAATTATTGCACCTTTAAAAGAACCCAAGTACCACGCGCTCTCAAATTTCAGAAGAAAAAAAAGGGATGCGCGTCATCAGTGGGTACAAATTTTTCAAGAAGTTTTAGTAAATTATGTGTGCATTATACTTAATTATAATGGAGAAATTTTGAACAAATGTAACAAGAAAACTTTTTTGTACTGAAAAAGTTGAAAATTGATCCGATTTTTGTTCAATTCATGTCTAAAGTCAAATTTTTTTAAATTTATTTTCAAAATTTTGTGGTTTTAGATTCACTAAAAATTTGGGTGCGCATCTTACTCTGGTATAAGATTTTAGCCAAATTTCCAACTGAAATACCCCTGTGCGCGCCTTACTCAAGGGCACGTGGTACTCGAGTAAATACGGTATAACTTCATTTCACGTTGCCCTGGCTATAGAGTTAATTACAGTACTTCTTGATCTAAATTATCCTAAGGGGTAATATATTGAGTTGGAATAAAATCTTCTTGCAGAAAAGAGGTTGGATGCAGCAGAGCTTGATTTTGGTAAAACATCCACTACTTAGGATAACAGCTTATTTTCTGCACGAGAGAAAATACATTTTTGTTTGCCACAGCACATTGCTGGACATATTTACAGTACTGTATTCCACTTGATCTGAAATTGATTAATTTCAGTAACCTAAATCCACCTGTCTCTCTCTCTCTCTCTCTCTCTCTCTCTCTCTCTCTCTCTGTCTTGTATTTTTGACAAATGACGCACTTATGAGGTCGGGAATGTCGAGAGACGGAGTCAGAGAAACCATTGCCTTGGAGAAAGTTGCTTGTAATTTCCTTTTGGAAAATCCGCAAGAGACAATAAAACATCTGGAGAGGAAGGGTTCTCATTTGCCAAAAAAGCCGCGAGCTTGTCATCCGTTTCACGGGACTCAAACAATCGCGGATTTCACTCAGGCCATTCGGCTGATCAAATCTCACGAGGTGGGAAATTGTTATTTAAAAAATTAAGAATGTCATCTTTTTAGATTGGCCGAATTATTGTACTTGTCGGAAAATTTTGTTCGTCATGATCACTTACGAGTAATAAATTCTTTCTTGCTTACTTCTTTCAGGATGGTACTGATGATAAAATCGCGCGGTTTTTTGTTGTTGTTGTTGCTTTAAATCTATTTAAATCACAGATTTCTTCTGTAAGAACCTCTGATGCAGGGTTTTTGTGCTGGGAAAAATATTTGCTTTTTGTTGCGAGACATTTTTGCTGCATTCTGTCGGAAAACTATGTTATTTTACGTTAAAGTGTTCTGATATGGCTAAAAGAAAACGCCAGGTATGAAGAAATAAATTTTCCGATTATCGAACAAAATCGGGAATTTTTAGTAATTTCACGAACAATTTTTCGGGATGCCTGGAAATTTGCTGTACGATGATTTAACCTGTATCATTTATATACAGTATTTTCCCGTTTCTATTACAAGCGAAATTACTAATGCCTCAGTGATTAATTACTAATTAATAACTAGTAATTGGTAATGATTAGTAATTACTAATCATTATAACAGAAATAAGACAGCCGATGCTTTCTCTAAAACAAATTTTGATAACATGTGATTGAGTGCTTCTGTGATATGAAGTTATGAATTTTTCAAAACATTAAAAATTGTCAAACAGGGCTGATTTTTCGTGTGCCAAAGAATACGTATTCCCTAAAGAATATTTTTTGTTCAGTTCGATTAGACGCCATTTTCATTTATATTCCGAGAACTTTTGTTAGAACCCTCGTATATATGAAGATTGTTGCAATTATTTTTTATTTATTTGTATAGTGAATTCAGACCCGGCGATTTAATTCCATCACTTTGATCTTTATGCACATGTCTCGGTTAAAACAGGTGTCTTGTGTTCGCGGAACTGCAAGTCGTGGTGTCACGCACGGATTATTTTTCAATGCTCGGAATTCCGAGGCAGTTTGCGCAGATTTATCCTTGCAAACGTGCCGAATGGAACAGGCAGTTTCGCGAGACTTAAAGAAATGGCACGAACGCGCAGTAGTGGAAAACTGGGCAGCGTTTGCGTTCAAAGTGGCTACGATCAAATGTCCGCTCGTGTTTGTAGATTGAGTGCGATGACTTTCTTATTTCAAAAGAGTTTATCCCCGTCAATTTTCGTTTCTTGCGTTTTTCTTTCGTCTTTTGTCATTTCAAGCGATTTTCGAATGTGATTCGGACGCTTTTGATAGTACAGTACTTATAAACCCACATACTGTATATTTATATGCGTGATACACGTACTTTCTGAAGGATAATAGATAATTCCCAAAAGACGAACGGTTGCTTCATTTTTTATTTTTATTTGAAGGAATACCCGCTGATTTCAAGAATCCTAGCGAAATTTTAGATATTCTAATTTGAAATTCAGGAAAAAATTGAAAATTAATCTCTTGTATGCTGCTTCAAAATTCCTATTTATTGTTGGTGAGTTTGCCTATCTTAAACGATTTTCGCTCATTATATGTTCAAGTTGATGATTTCTTCTGCCGTATCTTTTATAGAATATGCTTTTAATATTTTGATTTTTTTCAGGTACGGTATGTGCAATTTTGCTGAGAGTTTCGGCCTAATTTTAATTTGGAGAGCTCTTGAAAGTTTCGTTTTGGATATTTCAAATTGTTAAAAGGAGTAACACAATGAATACGTCTTGAAAATATTATTTGTACTCACATTCAGAGGCAAGACTTATGCATTTCATAATATTTTTTTTGATTTGAAAAAGGGTGTCACCCGAATTTAATCTTTGATCCTATTCTCCGCAGATTCGTTTTCGATCGGGTCAGTGTTTTTGAACGCTTTGTTAAGAATTTAATATCTGATTCAGTAAATTAAATGAACATGACAAACATTATGGATAGGATTTTAGGGGAATTTCAATCGTTTATTCGGTCACATTTCATGGATACTTAGATTCGCTGCTCATGCGTATGAATTACGTATTAATTAACGTTATCTTAAAAAAAAAAAATTTGTTCATCAAAACATCGTCGCAAACATTTGCTGTTGAAGATGATGGCATCGCTCATGATTAAACATGTTGATTCGAGTTGAAAGTGTTTGACAAAATCAAGGTCGAATCTGGATTTCAAATGAAATCACGTGACATCTGATTTTAAAGACAATGAAGATGCGTAGGTGCGTAAATTGTACAGCGAAAAGCTTTATTTTTAGCAATTATAAATCGAGGTGCGTTTTATTCTCAGTGGCGTCTTATATATTCGAATAAACTCGGGATTAACATCGGCTCGATTTTTGGGTTATGTTCATCCTTTTTTGTTTCGGTCCATATCCTTGCGTTGATTTTTTTAAAGTTCCTTCGACTGTTTTTTGTAATGATATCGAATCAAAAATTGGTATTCCGTTTGATCCAAGGCAAAAAGTGTGAGGTTTGTGTGTAAACCCCGGGTGTATTGGGACTTCCGCAGCCAAAGCCGTATGAAACTATACCGACTTGGACGCCACTTGAGTCGAAAAGCGGCCCCCCAGAGTCGCCCTGGAACAAAGAAATCATTAGAATTTTGTAACTTCCTATTTACTCGAGTACCACGCGCATATTTTTCTTCTTCTGGGAAATCAAGACAGAAAAGCGGGGTGCGCGTGGCATGCGAAAAAATCGTACTTCAAAAATTTTGAAGTAAACAGAAATTAGGAACTTAATGCTGGTGGGATCCGAGCCATAAGTGATTTTGTGGGTGAGAATAATGAAAGGGGAATTTTGTTTGGCTCAAATTCAATTAAAATGATGCATCTTCTTAAATCTTTGATGGTACGGAATTACTTTGTTCAACACTATAATTTTAAATAAACATTTGATTTTCAACCATGTTAAACTGGGGTGCGCGTCTTGTGCAAGGGCACGTGCTGGTACTTGAGTAAATACGGAATCACTTTCAAATTATTTGCAATGAAAAGCTGATCTCAAGTCCTTTTCTCTAAAATTCAAGTGGGACTGCTTGGTATTTTTGAAAGTATTGGGTGTTCTTATGATCGTGCAAGTGAGCATGTTTCCAAAGAAGCGTGTTTCACAAAACAGTGCATATCCTAGTACGCTTGTCTCGAACAGGTCATTAATTATAACAATTACTAAATTTTTTATAGGTTCGTCTTCGTTCGTTGGGACTTACGGTCAACTACTTTAGGGTCTATTCCTTCAAAGATATCTCATCAATAAGTGCTGCCCAACATATGGCCCGCGGGCCGGATTCAGCCCACATCAGAGACTCTTCATCCATTCCATGTTCCCTTCCCAAAATTTTCAATTCAAATACGTATTGAAAAAGGAATTTGAACTTTCAAAATGTTGTTTATTACCTCTTCAAAAATTTTATAAAGCTATACGTGTGATCAAGGATCACAAAAGAATATAAATAAAAATGCAGGGAATCCGCCTTTTGAATGCCAAGAACACATACTCAAGGGGTTTCCTTGAATTTGAAAATATATTCCTAGTTTTTCAATCATTTATATTATGATCTTCAGCAGAGTTGAACGCAAAGAATGAGCACAAACAATGCACAAAGCATTTGAATAAGTCACAGGAGTAACACAGATTTGTGCGCACAAATCAAAAGAAATAGATAATTTTTCAAGGGAGATCAGGACAGACTGACTCTTAAAATCAAATTGTTTTTAGCTTTGATTGAGGAGGAAACCTTCATCGGTTTCCTCTCTTGTTTTCTCCTCAACAATAGGCTTGTGATTCAATGCATAGCACTGAATTACATTTTTTAAATGTTAATTTAAAATGGGGAATATTTGGAACCTCTAAAACTAATGCCTATTGTGGGCCACAGCAAGGACCATCCATCCCTGCAATGCAGTCCTTTGTCAAAAAACAGAAATGTATAAATGTGGCCCTTGGCCCTTTACTGAGTTGGGCAGCAGGTACTGTACTGTTTTGGACTACTGTATTTCAAAAAAAAATGTTACCTGACATCCGTCTTTGCCGGCTTCCCCACCGGCACAAAGTTGGGCAGGAACAATGACGAGAGATCTGGCATAGGCTCTCAGAAGGCTCTGACACTCCTTGTCCGAAACGTATTTCATGGTCACGTATTGCATTTGAGGGGCCAATGGCCCGTCAACACTCGTGACCCCGTATCCCGGGAGCGTTAGAACCGCACCAGCTGAGGAAAGAATAAGATATATATATATATATATATACAGTACTGGGATTATTTTTCAATTGGTACATGAAAGTATTCAATTCCTTTCCATGCGAGAAATCGAAATGAAAATGCTACCAATGGCATAAAAATGCTGTTTCGAAGCCTATTTAGAATCACCCCAGCTGAAGATGCGAGAATTCATCATTACATTTTTATTATTCCTACAGTGTCGAAAGAAGAATTAAAAATGCTTTTACTGACATATGGAAATGCTTTTTAAAGCTTTAGAACCACACCAACTGAAGATAGAAATATACTGTACTAGAGAACTATGTATACTGCTATTCCATTTTTTTTTCTGCCAGAAAAAAAGGATCAAGAATTGATTCAATTCCATCGAGGGATTGGCGTTTTTTCTGCGTAGAATTAAAATCATCGCGCAAAGCCGTAAAAAATAGAAGAGAGAGCTGAATATCATTTTATTTATTTTTTTCCGTCAGATGAAGAATCGAAGATGCTTTCGAGTTCATGCAAATGCATTCTTTTTTAAGCTTGAAAGCATTAGAATCACAACCTTGAGGCAATGATAAAAATATATTATTGTTATTCAATTTTGAATATTTATACATTTTAAAGACAATTTTATATTTCTTCCAAGTAAAGTATATGCAATTTTTAGTTTTAGTGATTGATTGAGAGTGATTTGCGTTAGAATCAATCCAGCCGAAAATGAAAAAAAGAGATAAAAAGAACGATGATTCTTATTCCATTTTTATTGATCCTAATTCTGTATCAAAATAAGAATTAGAAATGCTTTGGATGAGGTTTTACCTGGGGGATCCTCGGCGTGTGTGTATGGTAACTTCACGGGTTTTGTATTTTCGTTGAAGATTATGTCCTTGTCCAGTTTGACAACAGAAATATCGTTTCCGTGCGCAGGTCTGGCATGAGTCGGTTCGTGCAAAAAATTATAGAAATTTGCATGATGAGCTGCAGTCAGTATTCGAACCTTGATTTTTTTTTGTTAGTGTATCTCCGAATACTCCGATTAAGCCGGCAATTCAAGCAAGGACGTTATTAGTAAAAGTTTAAAAATTAAAAAAGTGCGTTTTACGATCAAGCAAAAACAGATTTCGTTTTTCTGGCAAAAAAAAAAAGCCGAAGAGGTGCGTCTCGTCGAGCGTATTTTATTCATTTATTTTTTAAACGGCGCGTGGAAATCAGACAACAAAGCGAGAAAAGACTCGTTCAATTTTCGGTTAGACACGACTGCACGAGAGGATAAATCGTTCATGAAGCTTAACAATAATGAATGACCTGATTTTAATTAACTGGATAAAATTTTTGATAAGGCTCATCGGAAATACTCACCGTCTAAGTTTCTCGTGCGGTACGATTTTGATCACGGTGTAACTTCTCGAGGAAGGCTCACTGACTCGAATGTTTGTAATCGTCCTGCCCGTAAACGCCTTTAG